GACACGAAGATTACCAGCAACTTCTAACAGGGATCTGTAGGAGCAGTTTGGGACCAGGTTACAATACAGCTCGTCGTACCACCCCGAGACCGACGGTCAAACGGAGCAGACGAGCCAGACTATGCAGCAGCTGATTCGTGCCACGTGTGATGACACAAAAACATGGAAGCAGCAGCTGCCATTGATCGAGTTCGCCTACAACAACGCCACGCTAGCGACAACGCAGCAGTCCTTATTTTACCAGAACTACATCCAAAATCCAACAGTGCCCATGACACCGAGTCCGGAAAATACCAAGCCACACGCTCAGCAGTTCGCCAATATACTACAAGTTGCCCGAACGCGAGCAGCAGAAGCAATTAAAAAGGCAAAGGTCATCGCTACGAGAAACGCTAATTGCGACCGCCGCCCAGTCACATACCAGTCAGGAGATTACATACTGGTCAACACACAGAATTTGAGACTGCACGTCGTACCAAAACTTTGACCCGTTATTGTGGACCTTTTCAATCAGCCACATGATCACCCTGTCAGTAGATCTGCACTGTGGATGCTCAATTGATTCTGGAGAGGGTTACAGGCGCGTTCGCCTGGGGGGTTATGGGCGCACTGACCCGCTACTGAAACAAGCCCTTTTATCCCAATGGTCTAGTGGTTGGGATTCTGACATGGTATCAGAGCGGTCTCGGGTTCGATTCCCGGTGTATGCACATGTAGGCCGTTGCCGCTGTGCTTAGTCCTGGGCCTCCCAGTGTGGGGGGGTGTCAGTAGATCTGCACTATGGATGCCCGATTGATCCTGGAGAGGGTTACAGGCGCGTTCGCCTGGTGGGTTATGGGCGCACTGACCCGCTACTGAAACAAGCCCTTTTATCCCAATGGTCTAGAGGTTGGGATTCTGACACACCCCAATTACCGCCCATCCACTGTTGCCAACAGACTGGTGCATCAGCCCATTGTTCGACATTAGCCTATTTTGCCCATACATCCCGACCACAAGCCAAGTGTCACGCCGTCGCCCACTGTCTATGACTCGCCCTGCATCGGAGCCGATCGTCAAGTCTGAAAAGATTCCAAGCCATCGGATTCGTCACCCGACATGCATCAAGAGGATCGAGTTCTTCGTTCACTGGAAGGACCACACGCCAACTTAAGATAGTTGGGTGCCCCATGCCAACATCGTAAACCACCCTGCCCTGCAAGTGTGCTTGAGGAGCCGGGGTTTCCGCTATATACACGCGTAGCGAAGGAGGCTTCTTAAGGGGGGGATAGTGTAAGAAATTGTTCAGCATTCCTTACCGCGTGCTTCAACATCGCGTACAGCAGCAGCCATTGTTCGCCCGTTACTACTAACAAGGCTTCGCCATCTTCGCGCGCAATTTTTTACCAAACCATGCACCACTGGCCTGGCCAAGTCGGCCCGAAGCTCGATGTCAGCCTTGCACTAACTAACTCGCACGCACCGCGTTTTACACCTAGTGCAATCTTCACTATCTCGTTCCATTGCATCCTTAACACAAATACAAATCAGGTGCTTTTTTATCATAGTAGATTACTCAAATACTCGGAAAATCAGAGTGGTTTTTGGGGGGTCACTTGAACGTTTATGGATAAAAAAAAAAGTGGAGGATAAGCATTCTTTGATTTGCCAGGGTTTTGATTATAGCTGCTCTGATAGACCGGTGTAATTTTCTGGCGCATGCATTTTTCTCTGTACATGGTACAGGCAAGGGCTTATTGTATCAGTGTAATTTACACTGCCGTACAGATCATAAGGGTGAAATTTAGGGCTTGCACTGATGGGTTTGGGTATTTTTTTGGGGGACTAATGTAACATTGATATGTCAGTGTAACAATTTAGGCCACACTAATGATTTGGGGTAATTTTTCCTTAGCAACGATTGTCAAAGTTATATTGGATGATTTAGTTTAACCTGTAGTGATTTGTGCCTTAAGGGTAGAACATTTTCTCTCGACACTTGTCTTGTAACACTGCCTTGACCTAACCTACTCATTCCAGTCACTTACCTTTCAACATGGTTTCAGAGTAGGTTGATCCTTAGGACCGATTTTTTTTTTGAAAGGGCCGACCATTCGTTCTACCTGTTTATTTCTCCCCTGCCCTATCGATCGCGACTCGGCTGCCCGCTAGAACCGCCCTGCCCCCTACACGCGATCGCCCTGCCCGCACGCGCTCTGCCTGCAGCTGCGCCGCTCTGCCTGCCCGCGCGCTCTGCACGCGCACCCTGCTGTCCGCACGAGCGCTGCCCGCACGCACTTTGCCGGCCCCACCAGTGCACTCTGCCCCGCAAACGCACTCTCTACCAGCAGCCTGCGCCCTGCCCGCGCTCTGCCTGCGCGCACCCCATGTGCACCCTGCCTTCTCCTTGCCCTTCCGCGCTGCTGCTGCCGTCATATCTGCAGGTGCTACTGCTGCATGCACTGCTGCAGCTGCTGTTATGCGTGTTGTTGCCATTGCTGCATGCCCTGCTGCTGCTGCTGCTAAGCACATTGCCGTCACTGCTGCATGCAGTGCTGTTGCTGCTAAGCGTTGGTGATGCTGCTAAGCGCGCTAGTGCCATTCGCTGCTGTGTTGTGCCCTATCCAAGCCGCGCCGCCCTGCCGAGCTGCACCGCCCTGCCCGAGCCGCGCTGCCTTGACCGAGCCGCGTTGCCCTGCCCTTACTTGAAGCACTGCCCTGCTGCTACTGCTAAGTGCTGCTGCTGGTGCCACTGCCTCTACTGCTGCTATGGCTACTCCTACTTTACTCACTTTTGATGACGAGGGGCATCTGATCGATTTGAAAACTGGCTCGAGGACTTAGAGTGGTTCTTTAAGAGCGTCACAAGGGAGGATATCTCACTGTTTGAGTATACCTCCTGGTCCATAGCTACCCTTATTGAGTTCACAGACCCAAATAATCGTTCTCAGTGGACCACTCCTAACACCTCTGCAGCCCTTGCTGTTCGTAACCACATTCTGCCCGACCTGCGCACTCATTTCCGCCAGCTTAAGATGGCCAAAGCGCTCTACGACGCTGTAATCAAATGCTATTCCTCCCCGTCTTCTGCCACGATAGACCATCTTGCGCTGCCGTTCCTCTTTCCTGAGCTCGCCGACTTCACCATCACAGCCGACCTCATCACACACCTGCGCTCACTTGACACCCGTTACCGTGCTGCTGTAGATCCGACTATTTGGCTGAGAACAAGCCCCCCATGTTTCTCACCCTCTACTTTCTCATGACATGCCTCCTTGACATGCTTCGTGTTGTTCGTGATCACTTCCTCTCTCTTGACCCCACCAAAGTCACCATAGACTCATTTGAAAAAAGCCTCTTTGAGGCTGAGTCTGCTGCCCTTGTTGAAGCTGCCTCATGTGGCACTCCCCTCCCCTCCATCTTCGAGGGGTGCTCCGCCTCCGTGCTCGTGTCCTCTGTTGCTTCTGCTGCTGCTATCCACTTCCTTAGTGCGGAAGAGGTTGGTGCTGCATCTGCTCCTACTGGGAGGCGCAAGGGCGGCAAGGGCAAGGGGGGCAAGGGTGTGGGTGGTGGGGGAGGTGGGGGTGGCGGCGGTAGTGGCGGGGGCGGTCGTGGTTGAGGTGGTGGAGGAGGAGGCAGTGGTGGCAGCGGAGGTGGAGGGGGTGGTGGGAGCAGTGGGGGTGGTGGAGGGGGCGGGGGTGGCAGTCGGGGTGGAGCTGGAGGGGGTGGCACTGGAGGCTCGACTACGCGCACTACTACGTCTGGTGGTGCAGCCGGTGGTGGAGGCGGCTTTGGGGGTGGACAACTGCAGCACTCGCTGAAGCAGCTTCGTGAGTGGGCAGTCGAGCGTGGCAGCTCAGGTGGCCCAGCTTGCTGTGGGTACATCCGACGCACTGGTCAGCCTTGCACGGATTGCACCCGCACTAATCACACGGAGTCTCGTTGCTTCTTTCGCCTCGACGATCTGTATCGTGCGGAGCATGGTGAGCACAAGGTGAAGTCTCCAGACTAGTTAGCTTTGTCAGATTTATATGACATAGCTACTGTAGGCTATAGTGGGGTAGCACATATGGGGTACTGCTTTCTAGGGTTTGTACTTGTACCCAACTTTCCCTTAGTCATTTCATTCTCGTTCAGTTTCTCATGGTATCGAGCAGGTTCCCCTGTGGGAACTGTTCTTAGGGCCCACCACCTTTTTTTTCCTGCCCGGAGCGCGCTCTACACTGCCCGAGTCGCGCTCCCTTCTCACGGCCCCGTCGAGCCGCCCTTTCGACTCTGTCGCGTCGCGCTTGCGGCCCCGGCGTGTTGCCCTCGCGGCCCCTTCACGTCGAACCGCCATTGCGGCCCCGATCCGCCGCCCTCGCAACACCGTCGCGACGCGCCGCCCTCGCGGCCCTTTCGCGCCACCCTCGCGACCTCTTCTAACCGCCCTCGCAACCCCCCCCCTCCTAGCCGCCCTAGCGGCCCCGTCGCCTACCCCTACGGCCCCGGCGCCGCCCTTCCCTGCCTCGGCGCCGCCTCTACTAGCCCCGTCGCCTACCCCTGCGGCCCCGGAGCTGCCCTTCCCGGCCCCGGCGCCGCCTCTACTGGCCCCGACGCTACTCCACCCGGCCCCGACGCCGCTCCACCCGGCCCCGCCGCCGCTCCACCCGGCCCCGCCGCCGTCCCCACGCGGCCCCGTCGTCACCACTGAGCTGCCGGCGCCGCCGAGCTGCTGCCGAGCCACCCGAACCACCCGAGCCGCCCGAGCCGCCGCGCCACCTGAGTCGCCCGAGCCGCCAGGTCGCCAAGCCGCCGAACTGCATTTGCTGCCGAGCCGCTGTACCGCCGAGCCGCCCGAGCCGCCGAGTCGCCGAGCCGCAGTTGCTACGGAGCCGCCGTACCGCGGAGCCACCCGAGCTGCCTGAGCTGCCGAGTTGCCAAGCCGCCGAGCCGCCCGAGCCGCCCTGTCTGGTAAGAGCAGCGCCTCTGTCACTGCACTGTCCTTACCCTACTATTCGCGCTGCTAGTCTAAAGCTGTCATGGCTACCCCTAGTGTCCTCGCTTTTGACGCAGAGGGTCGGGCCATTGACTTTGACGTCTGGGTAGATGACCTGCAGCTTTTCCTACAGTGCGATAGGGCAGACGGTCTCTCTCTCTTTGACCTCACCTCTGGTGCCTCTCCTGCCCCTGCTGCTGATGCCGACGCCACTGTTCGCTCACAGTGGGCCACACGCGATGCTGCTGCACGTCTTGCTGTGCGTCGCCACCGGCCTACATCTGAGCGTGCGCACTTTAGCCAGTACAAGAGTGCTCAGACCTTGTACGACGCTGTAGTTGCACACTACTCCTCCCCTGCCACTGCTGCACTGAGCCGCCTCATGCTATCGTACCTCTTCCCTGACCTTGCTGCCTTTCCCACAGTCGCTGACCTTATTACGCACCTCCGCACTAGTGACACTCGCTACCGCGCTGCGCTTCTTGCTGAGTTCTGCGCCAAGAACCCCCCCCCTCCCATGTACATCACTCTCTACTACATAGTCACCCGGCTCCTTGACTCCCTTCACGTAGTCAGGGACCACTTCCTCAAAGTTTGCCCCACCAGTCTCACCGTTGACCTCCTCGAGAAGGCCCTCCTAGCAGGAGAGAAGAGCATAGTCGCTTTAGGAGCCTCTCGTGGTGACCCTCGCACCCCCGTCTTTGAAGGGTGTTCCCCCTCCCCCCTTTTGCCCTCTGTTGCCTCTGCTGCTGCGGCCGGCCTCGTTGGTTTCGAGTCGGTCGGCGCTGCGTCTGCCCCGAACGAGAGACGCCGCACCGGCAAGGGCAATGGGGGCAAGGGTGCTGGAGGGGCTGGCGGGGGTGGCGGAGGTGGCGGTGGAGGCAGTGGAGGGGGTGGGGGTGGTGGTGGGAGTGGTGGCAGGGGTGGAGGTGTCGGTGGCGGCAGTGGAGGCGGAGGCGGCGGCGGCGGTGGCGGTGGGAGAGGAGGTGGCGAGGTGGCAGCGGTGGAGGAGGCGACGTCGGAGGAGGTGGAGCTGGTCGAGGTGGCGCTGCGTAGAGGGTCGGCTCCGGAGGTGGTCAGCGCTAGCAGCAGCAGCAGCAGCAGCACCGCACTCATGACATCCCCCCCCCTCAGCAGCTCCGTGAGTGGTACGCTGTACGCCAGCGGGGTGGGGGTACTGGTCCGTGCACCTACGTCCTACGCACCGGCGACCGCTCGGGTGAGCAGTGCGGGGGTGCGCACTCCACTCAGCGCTGCTTTGGCCGCTTGACAGACGCTTGGCGTCACCAGTTCCCTGAGGCCAATGAGATCCCCCGCTGGGGCGAGCTGTCTAGGGCGGGAGTAGCTGTCTTTGACCTTGACTTTGATGCTATTCTTGCTGCCATGTATGCTGTAACTATTAGTGATGAGGGTGAATATTACCGTTGTTTTCCGCCCGAACCGGGCATTGAGACTGCTGCTCTAGGTACTGGTGAGGCTGCTGCTCTAGGTGATAGCAAGGCTGCTGCTCTAGGTGCTCGTGCGTCTGCTCCCTCAGGTGCTGGTGAGTCTGCTCTCTCAGGTACTGCGTCGGCTTCGTTCTCCTTCTTTCGAGACCGCACCACACTCACGCCGCTTGGTTGGCCAGTTGCAGTCTCCATGGCAGACCCCTCTGGGGGTCCTGTCCTTGCTCACTTCTCTTCTGTCCTCCCGTGTCCGGCGGCCCCCTCTGGCACCTTGTCTGGTCTTTACCTCCCCTCGTTCTCTACGAACTTGGTGAGTGGTGCTGACCTACAGGATGCGGGGGTTCACCTATTCACTCCTGCGAGTCAGCGGGTGACCCACTGTATGGACGCTCGGACAGGCCGACACCTGGCCACGTTTACACGTCAGCCGGGGTCAAGTCTGTACATACTGACCACTGCGTCTCCTTTAGTTACTGCGTCTGGTCAGGTAGCTGCGTCGGGTCAGGTGTTTGCTGCAGCGTCCAGGTCTGGTCCCGAGTCTGCCCCCTGCTCGTGTCGCCTCCTGTCTCACCAGACTCTCCTCTGGCACCACCGTCTTGGTCACCCCTCCCTGCTTCATCTCCGAGGCATGGCCTCCCGTGTCCTTGTCTCTGGTCTTCCCCGGTCCCTCCCTCCCCTTCCTCCGGGGCCTGGCCCTACCTGCGTCCCCTGTGTCGAGGGGCGCCAGCGGGCTGCCCCTCACTCCTCCCAGTTTCCTCCGACTGAGGCCCTGCTGCACACGCTTCACATGGACGTGTGGGGCCCGGCCTGCGTCCGTGGACAGGGTCACAAGCGCTACTTCCTGCTGGTGGTTGACGACTACTCGTGTTACACCACAGTCTTCCCCTTGCGCAGCAAGGGTGATGTCACTGCGGTGTTGATCGACTGTATCCGCGCAGCTCGTCTCCAGGTGAGGCAGAGCTTCGGCTCGGACTTTCCTGTTCTGCGTCTGCACTCTGACAGAGGTGGAGAGTTCTTCTCTGGCCTTCTGCGAGCCTACTGTCGTGCACGATGCATCCGCCAGACCTTCACACTTCCGGACTCTCCACAGCAAAATGGGATTGCTGAGCGCCGCATTGGCATGGTCATGGACGTCGCTCCTACGTCCATGATGCATGCGGCTGCCCCCCATTTTCTATGGCCGTTTGCGGTTCGGTACGCGGCGCATCAGATCAACCTTCACCCAGGGTCTCCATGCCGGAGACCTCCCCAGCTTTGCTATGGACGGGGAAGGTTGTCCATGCGTCTGCGTTCCGTGTCTGGGGATCTTGGGCGTTTGTCCGCGACTTGTCTGCGGACAAGCTGTCCCCTTGTGCTGCTCCTTGCGTCTTCCTTGGCTTCCCCCTTGACGCGCCAGGGTGGCAGTTCTACCACCCCACCTCTCTTCGTGTTCTGTCCTCCCAGGATGTCACGTTTGACGAGTCGGTCCCCTACTACCGCCTCTTCCCCTACCGCACTCCGTCCCTCCCCCCGCCACCGCTCTTCCTTGTGCCAGGTCCCCCCCCGGTAGACCCCCTCCCCCCTCAGGGTCCCGCCCCTTCAGGTGTGTCCCAGGTAGACGCAGTCGAGCCTGTCGAGGTTACTGATGACTCTGGTGCTACTGAGGGTGCTGAGCCTGGGGGTGCTGACTCTAGGGGTGCTGAGCATGTGGGTGCTACGCTTGGGGGTGCTGAGCCTGAGGGTGCTACTACTGGGGGTGCTGAGCCTGGGGGTGCTGAGCCTAGGGGTGCTGAGCCTGGGGGTGCTACGCTTGGGGGTGCTGAGCCTGGGGGTTCTACGCCTAGAGGTGCTGAGCCTGGGGGTGCGGAACCTGAGGGAGCTGGGCGTGCTCGTGTGGCGTCTGGCGGTGCTGGGCCTGGAGGTTCTCCGGGTGCTTCGTCTCGGCGGGAGCCACTCTCTCCACGGGAGCTGCGCGTGTGGTTTGCCTGGCGCTGGAGGCGTGCTGCTGGAGCTGGAGGTTCTTCGGCTGCTGAGGGTGCTGGTGTCGCGGGTCCCAGAGGTGCTCGTACTGGGAGTACTGGAGCTGCTGAACCTGCGGGTACGTCTGGAGCTGGAGCTGCTGAGAGTGTTGGTGCTGAGGCTACTGCTATCTGTCCTAGAGGAGGTCCTACTGGGGGTGCTACTGGTGCTACTGGAGGTACTGGAGCTGGAGGTGCTGCTGGCGCTGGTGTTGCCGCTGGGGGTACTGGTGCTGTCCCTTCTGTGTTTGGAGTCGCCGCGCGGCCTCGGCCGTACTTCGTTCCACTCCTTCAGCAGGTTCTTGGTCTCCCGCCTTCTACTGGTCCTCCTCCTCCCTTAGAGTGTCCACAGCCTGTCCCGTCACAGTTACAGTTACAGCTGGCCTCCCCACTACCTGCTCATTCTCCCTACACTGGTCCCACTGGAGGTCTTGCTGAGTGTCGTGAGCCTGCGTCTCGCCCTGCGTTGCCTGTCCGTCGTGCTCGCACTAGTGGTCGTGGATCACGTCAGCGTCCTCCTCCTGTCCGTGGCACGCACCGGATGTCTCTACGACGGTCCACTGCTCCTCTGCGTGCCCCTTTGCCTTCTCCTCCTGAGTCCTCGCTTCTTGCTCTTGCCGACCCGGAGTCGGACTCTCTTCGTGCTGCCAGTCCTACTGTCACGCGTCTGCTTGCTACTATCGTCACTGACCCTTCCTTTGAGTCCAGTGCTGCGTCTGCCCTAGTTGCTGAGCTCGTCGACTTCGCTGCTCGCTGCCATCTAGACTACGCTGCTAGTCTTGTCGCTGAGTCTGAGTCTGTCTGTCCTCCGTCCGTCGGGGGTGAGTGTGCCCTTGGCACGGACGTCCTTGAGGACAGGCAGGAGGAGTTCCAGTGTTTGGCTGCTGCTTCACCTCATCTCGTGTCTGTACTGCTTACCCCTGAGGGAGACCCGGATGCACTTGACATCCCGACTCCGCGTTCTTACTCGTAGGTGATAGAGGGTCCCTACTCCTCTCAGTGGCAGGCAGCTATGGACATGGAGATGGCTTCCTGGAAGTCCACAGGCACCTACGTTGACGAGGTTCCCCCGCCTGGGGCGAACATCATCAGTGGCATGTGGATTTTCAGGGTGAAGCGGCCGCCGGGTTCTCCGCCTGTCTTCAAGGCGCGTTACGTTGCTCGTGGCTTCACTCAGCGGCAAGGAGTTGACTACCTTCAGACCTTCTCTTCCACCCCGAATATGACCACTCTTCGGGTACTCCTGCACATAGCTGCTCAGCGCGACTACGAGCTGCGCTCTCTTGACTTCAGCACAGCTTTCTTGCAGGGCAGCCTGCACGAGGAGATCTGGCTGCGTCGCCCACCTGGCTTCACTGGGTCTTTTCCTCCTGGCACCTAGTGGAGCCTCCGGCGGCCAGTCTACGGTCTACGCCAGGCACCGCGTGAGTGGCACGACACACTGAGGACTACACTTGCGGCTCTTGGGTTTGCTCCCTCTATTGCTGACCCGTCGCTGTTTCTGCGCACCGTCACTTTTTTGCCGCCGTTCTACATCCTTGTGTACGTCAACGACTTGGTCTTTGCCAGAGCTGACACTGCTGGACTCGCCCACGTGAAGTCCGAGCTGCAGAAGAGACACACGTGCACTGACCTGGGTGAATTGCGCATCTACCTTGGCTTGCAGATCACCCGGGACAGAGCACGCCGCACCATTACCCTGACTCAGTCACACATGGTGCAGCAGGTCCTTCAGCGCTTCGGCTTCACGTACTCCTCGCCTCAGGCCACTCCTCTGCCTACTCGCCACTCGCTCTCAGTTCTGCCTTCGGATGAGTCCGTAGAGTCGAGTGGCCCGTACCCAGAGCTTGTTGGCTGCCTCATGTACCTGATGACCTGCACACGACCTGACCTTGCATACCCTCTTAGCATTCTCGCACGCTATGTTGCTCCTGGGAGACACGGACCGGAGCACATGGCTGCAGCGAAGAGGGTGTTGCGCTACTTGTGCAGTACTTGTGATCCACCGTGAGCTTGCTTTGATTTGCTTGACTGGTCTTGTGACCCCTTGTTCTCCCCCACTTTGCCTATGGGGGTGTGTCAGATTTATATGACATAGCTACTGTAGCCTATAGTGGGGTAGCACATATGCGGTACAGCTTTCTAGGGTTTGTACTTGTACCCAACTTTCCCTTAGTCATTTCATTCTCGTTCAGTTTCTCAAGCTTTGCTGGAGAAGGACATTGATGTCTTTGCTTGTGATTGGGACGTGATCCATGCTGGCATGTATGCGATGTATGATGCTTTTGCTAGTGTTGAGGGGGATTGTTTCTCGTGTATGCCAAGAGTTTCTAGGGTAGTGGCTGCTAGTCTTGGTGCTTTTGACTCAGCTAGCACAGGTCTAGTGCCAAAAGAAGCCTTGCACACTTTTAATCTCGACTCAGGCGCGTCTCGTTGCTTCTTCCGCAACAGCACCACAGTCACATTGCTGAGAGCCGCTGTCCCTATCACACTGGCGGACCCCTCCGGGGGCCCGGTAGTCGCGCGTGGCGCCATCGTTCTCCCTTGTCCGGCGGCCCCTTCCGGCCTCCTCACAGGTCTCCACCTCCCCTCGTTCGCTAAGAACTTGGTGGCTACCTCTGTCCTCCAAGACTAGTGGGTCACTCTCACCTGGCCTGGAGGCGAGCTAGCTGTGATCTGTACGGACTCACGCACTGGTGAGCTCCTCACCACGTTCACTTGGAGGCCTGGGTCTGGCCTTTACATACTGGCCACTGAGTCTGCACTGGTAGCTGAATCAGGTCAGGTCGTTGCGTCGGTTGAGGTCGCTGCCTCTTGCTTGTGTCGTCTCCTCACGCATCGCACTCTCCTCTGGCACCACCGTCTTGGCCATCCCTCCTTGCCACGCCTTCGTGGCGTGCACTCCCGTCTCCTGGACTCTGGGATTCAAAGGACCCTGACCCCGCTCCCGAGGTCGCTTGTGCCGTCGTGCCTTCCCTGCGTCGAGGGGCAGCAGCGCGCCGCTCCTCACTCCTCGTTTCCTCCGACCACAGCTACTATGTAGACCCTCCACATGGACGTGTGGGGTCCAGCACGAGTCCCTGGACAGGGCGGAGAGCGCTACTTGTTGCTGGCTGAAGACGACGACACGCGCTACACCATGGTCTTCCCCTTGCAGAGCAAGGCGGAGGTTTGCATTGTTCTAATCCGCTGGATCCGTGCTCAGTTTCAGCAAGATCTCCCGGTCCTGTGACTGCACTCTGACCGAGGTGGTGAGTTTTCCTCCGGCCTCCTCGAGAATTTCTGTGATGCTGAAGGCATCCGCCAGACCTTCACGTTTCTGACCCCTCCACAAAAGAATGGGATTGCAGAGCGCCGCATTGGCTTGGTGATGGAGGTTGCTCGCGCCTCCATCGTCCATGTGGCTGCTCCCCATTTTCTGTGGCCGTTTGCGGTCCGATACGCTGCTGAGCAACTCAACCTCTGGCCCCGTGTCTCCCACCCAAAGACCTCTCCCACTCTATAGTGGACAGGCGAGGTTGGTGATGCATCGCCGTTTCGGGTCTGGGGTGCCCTTTCGCTTGTTTGCGACCCCCCCCCACGCAGGGAAGCTCTCTCCCCACACTCCTCGCTACGTCTTCCTAGGCTTCCCTACCGACTCCCCAAGCTGGCAGTTTTACCACCCGTGTTCTCGTTGTATTCTCTCCTCCCAGGATGTCACTTTTGACCAGTCTGTCTGCTTCTACCGTCTCCACCCCCACCGCAATTCCCCCGTGCCCCTCCCGCCTCTCACACTGGTCTCCGACCCCCCCCTGGTAGCCCCAACCCCCCCACCTGGTCCTGCTTCCTCAGGTGTGTCTCGGGTTGACCCATCCTCCTTGGTTGAGCCAGTAGAGGTCTCCTCTCACACCTCTGGCCGAGCTGAGAGGGGTGACCCGACTCCTACTGCCACCATGACCCCTCGCCGCTCTGCGCGCTTGGCGGTCCCTCCTGGGTTTCCGCCTCGACCGTCTTCAACGCTGCTGTAGCCTGTCGTAGTGGACTTTGGTGCTGCAGGAGGTGGTACCAATGGGGGTGCTGCTTCTGGGTGTGTTTGTTCTAGGGGTGTTGCGTGTCCTCTGGGTACGAGTCGGCAGGAGGCTCTCTCGCCGGAGCGGCTTCGCGAGTGGGCTGTCCAATGGGGCAGCCCAGGTGGTGGAGCTAGCCATCTTCGAGTGGGAGGTGCTGTGACTACTGGAGCTGGAGGTTCTGCTACTGGTGGTACTAAGGTGTTAGTGCTGGTGGTCTGGTGCACGTCGGCAGGAGACTCTCTCACTGGAGCGGCTTCGCGAGTGGGCTGTCCGTTGGGGCAAACCTGGTGGTGGCGCTGGACATGCTAGAGCTGCAAGTCTTGGAGGTGCTGGCCCTAGAGGTGCTAGTGCTGGTGTCCTAGAGTTGGCCGTGCTGGAGGTACTGGTGCTGGAGGCACAGCTGTTGCTGGGGATACTGGCGGTGCTGACACTGGAGTTACCAATGGACGTAATGGAGTTAGTGGTGCTAGTTGGCAGGAGTCGCTCTCGCCGCTGCAGCTTCATGAGCGGGCTGTCAGTTGAGGCAGTCCCGGTGGTGGAGCTTGAGGTACTGGTTTTGGGGGTGCTGTTGCTACTATAGCTAGAGGTTCTGGGGGTGCGACTACTCAGCCGCAGCCGTCTGCGCTTCGTCACCTTCTCAGCCTCCTGCCTGCTGCCACTGAGTTCCCGGTTGCTGGTACTACTCCTCCGTTACTGTTCCCACCGACTGTCCAATCTCAGCCACAGCTACTGCCTGGCTCCCCACTGCCTGCTCGTGCTCCTCACACTGTAGTGACAGCAATTCACTGAGCGTAGAGATCCTATCACGCCTGCCCGTTCTTGTCGTACTGTGTGTCCTCGTCCTCCACCTGTCCCTGGCACACACATCATGGCACTTCGTTCTTCCTCTGTTCCACAGCGTAATCTCCTCCCGTCTCCCCCTGAGTCTTCTCTTCCTCACGTTCCTAACCTTGAGTCATACCTTGTCCGTATAGCCAGTCCGACTATCACTTGTCTCCTTGCCACGGTTGTGACTGACCCTTCTTTTGAGTCTGCTGCTCCGTGTGCCTTAGTTGCTGAGTTTGTTGACTTTGTTGCTTTGTGCCGCCTTGACTACGCTGCGAGTCTTGTTTTTTACTCTTCGTGTCCTCCGTCCGAGCGGCGTGAGCTTGCCCTTGGCTGTGACGTTCTAGAGGACAGGCAGTTTGAGCTAGAGTGCCTAGCATCAGCTGCACCTCATCTCGCGTCCACGCTACTTTGCTCTGAGGGAGACCCGGATGTACCAGACATCCCGACCCCGCGCACTTACGCAGAGGCGATTACGGGTCTGTACTCCTCTTAGTGGCAGATGCCACGGACGCATAGATGGCTTCGTTGAAGTCCACAGGCACCTACGTCGACGAGGTTCCCCCACCTGGGGCGAAAATAGTTGATGGCATGTGAATTTTCAGGGTGAAGCGGCCGCCGGGTTCTCCGTCTGTCTTCAAGGCGCGTTACGTTGCACGAGGCTTAGTCAGCTGGAGGGGGACGACTCCTTTCAAACCTTCTCCCCCACCCCAAAGATGACCACTCTTTGGGTGCTACTGCACGTTGCATCACAGCGCGACTTCGAGCTGCACTCCCTCGACTTCTCGACAGCTTTCTTGCAGGGCAGCCTTCACGAGGCTATCTGGTTGCGCCGTCCACGTGGCTTCACTGGGTCGTTTCCTGAGGGTAACCAGTGGAGTCTTTGGCGACCAGTCAACGGCCTACGACAGGCGCCCTGCAAGTGGCACGACACACTGAGGACTACACTTGTGGTTCTTGGCTTCGCTCCCTCGCTTGATGACCCTTCGTTGTTTCTGCGTATAGACACTTCTCTGCCGCCGTTCTACGTTCTCGTATACATTGACGACTTGATTTTTGCTACTTCTAACACGGAGGCGCTGGCCTTAGTGAAGCAGAAGCTGTAGGAGAGACACACTTGCAATGACCTGGGTGAGCTGTGGAGCTATCTTGGCTTGCAGATCACCTGGGACAGAGCACGCCACACCATCACTTTCACTTAGTCACACATGGTGCAGCAGGTCCTTCAGCGCTTCAACTTCATGTGGTCCTCTCCACAGCCCACTCCTCTTTCTACGGGCCACTCGCTCTCAGCTCCACCTTCGGACAAATCCGTAGAGATGAGTGCTCCGTACCCAGAGCTTGTGGTTTGCCTCATGTACCTGATGACGTGCACACGACCCTACCTCGCATTCCCTCTCAGCCTCTTGGCTCGCTACGTTGCTCTCTGTAGACACCGAAAGGTTCACTGGGAAGATGCAAAGAGGGTATTGTGTTACTTGTGCAGTACATCAGGCATGGGGCTCGT